GCCTCCTCCGGGAACGTACGCCCAGTCACCGACTCCAGAGAGGAGATCGGTATTCGACGTGCCAGAGCTCAGAACCTTGCCGAAAGTGGTGCTAGTCGGCCTCAGATCAATACACCACCATCGTCCTCCACCTTCCGACACCCAGAAACGCCCTTGATCATCAACATCACCCATACTAATAGCATTCGTACCAATGACAAGATCAAGAACCTCCCATCGACCATCCTTAGCGATACGAATAAGTCCCGATCGCTTACAGCCCAGAATACCACAAAGCAGGGCATTAACAAGCGGCTGCTGATAAAAGCCATAGATGTAGTTATCAAGCTTGTTGAAACCGATACCGTTGATTGGACCGCCGGGACCAATACCTGTTCTAATATCTGTTCGTGCACCAGTGTTGAGATTGACGCGCGTGAGAGTGTTGGCGAGAAGACTTGCGACGGTATAGCCGAAACCATCGCAGTCAAATGTTGGGCCAAAGGCGAGCTGAGGCATCATGCTTGTGCTGGTGGTACTGCTGGAGCTTGTGACGACAACAGGGATGACTGCGCTGCTGGAGGTGGTGACCACTGGGGCCGCAGCACTGGTTGAGCTTGTAGTGATTGGTGCTGGGGCTGCGCTTGATGTTGACGATGCAGCAGCGGCGGCGGCACTGGATGAGCTTGAGGCAGCAGCAGCTGCAGCGCTAGAGGAACTGGCCGCGGCAGCAGCACTGCTTGACGAAGTTACTGCAGCTGCTGCACTACTTGAAGAACTGGCCGCTGCTGCAATGGCAGAAGAGCTTGAAGTCGCGGCAGCAGCAGCACTAGAGGAACTTGAAGCAGCAGCTGCAGATGCACTGCTCGATGAGCTCGCCACTGCCGCCGCGCTACTTGTAGTTGAAGTTGAAGCGACAGCAGAAGAACTGGTTGTAGGACCAACCGCTGCTGCACTAGTAGTGCTTGAAGAACTAGCAGCAGCAGAGCTTGTTGGAGAACCACTCAGAGTTGTAAAAACAGGACTCTCCATACTCAACGGCGCAGCTGAGCCAGAAGTCGAAGATTCCACTGGCGTTACGACCATTGTCTCAACAATAATAGTGCCCGGCTCTCCAGCTGCTGTAGGTGGATCGTACAGCGTTCGTCCAGCTGTAGCTGTGGCGGGAGCAGCTCTGAAGATAGTGACATTGGTACCTGCAACGATTGGAGTGGAAGTTGTTGGAATGCCTGCTGGTGCTCCGCTGATAGGAGTGGTTGAAGCTGCGGAACTGGCAGTTGGCGTTTCGATGAGGACTGTTCCTGGCTCGCCTTCTGAGACAGGGGGGATGTAGATGGTTCGTGTAGTTGAGCCTGCTCCACCGGCGAAGATGGTTGTGTTCTGTGCAACTGTTGGTGGTTCTGTTGTGCTTGCGGTTGCTGTTGATGAAGTCTCCTCGGGAGCAGAGCTTGGCGTTTGGATGAGTATCGTGCCGGGTTCACCAGAAGAAGCGGGAGGAATGTAGATTGTCGTCGTGACTGATGCAGGTCCTCCGACGAAGCGAGTCACGTTTTGGATTGCGCTTGGAGACTCAACACTTGTGATAGCCTCACTAGATGTTGTTTCTGCAGCGGGACTAGCCGAGGGAGTCTGAATGACCACCGTGCCTGGCTCTCCAGATGAAGCTGGGGGGATTGTATAGGTCGTAGTGACTGATGCTGGGCCGCCGACGTAACGAGTGACATTTGGAACTTCAGTTGGCGCTTCAGCTGATGGGGTAGATGTGGTAGTCTCATCAGGTGCGGCGGAAGGTGTTTGAATGAGGACAGTTCCGGGCTCGCCAGAAGATGCTGGTGGGATGTAAATGGTTGTTGTGATAGAAGCAGGACCGCCAACGTAGCGGGTAACGTTAGGAATTCCAGTTGCTTCTCCATCGCTGGCAGTTTCGGTAATAGATACCGAAGATGTCTCTTCGTCCTCGGGACTGGTTGTCGGCGTCTCAATAATGACTACACCAGGTTCACCAGATGCAGTGGGAGGGATATAGATCGTCGTTGTGACAGACGCGGGTCCTCCCACGATGCGAGTAACGTTCTGGATTGGCGTAACAGCTTCACTTGCAGAAGCTGATGGTGTCTCCTCTTCAGGGCCAGCTGTTGGAGTCTGGATCACCACGGTTCCTGGCCCATCAGGGTTGCTTGATGCAGGTGGGTAGTAGATTGTTGTTGCAACCGTGCCTGGACCACCGCTGTAGAGAGTAACATTCTGTCTTCCAACAGGGAATGCGGTGTTTGCAGCACTCTCACTAGCCGCTGTATCCTCGGGACCTGACGTAGGCGTCTCAATGATCACAACACCTGGCTCTCCGGATGCTGTAGGGGGGATATAGATAGTGGTAGTGACTGAAGCAGGACCTCCGACGATACGGGTGATGTTGGCTGGTCCTCCACTAGAAATGGCACTGGTTGTTGCTTCGGGATCTTCCTCTTCAGAACCAGAGGTTGGTGTCTCAATGACAACGGTTCCAAGCCCATCGGGGTCATCGGAAGCTGGCGGGAAGTAGATTGTCCTTGTTGATGAGCCTGATCCACCGCTGAAGATGGTAGTATTGGGTCTGCCCTCAGAGGTAGTGAGAGGTCCTGTCGCTGTTGCAACAATGCTTCCTGTAGTCTCCTCATCACCAGAGGAACCAGTTGGTGTCTCGATTAGAATGGTGCCTGGCTCTCCTGAAGCTGTAGCAGGTACAAAGAGGGTTCTCGTAGCTGTTCCAGGAATACCAGTGTAAATGGTGACATTTCCAGGTCCACGGGCGGTCTCTGTAGGACTAGAACCATCTGGTGTCTCGATAACAATAGTGCCAGCCTCACCCGATGCATCTGGCGGAAGATATATGGTACGAGTAACCAAGACAGGGCCGCCGCTATATACAGTGACGTTGGCCAGAGCGTTATTGGGGGTCTCAAATGCGCCAGTCGGCGTCTCGACAATGACGGTATCTGGCCCGCCTGATACACCGGGCAAGGTGATTGTAGTTGCTGCTGTCACAGGACCACCTCGAGTAATGGTCACTTCTTCCCTGTTATCATTAGTCTCTGATGGTTTGCTAGCAGACTCAGTTGGGGTTTCGACGACAACGGTATCTGGCTGGCCCGAAGCTCCAGGTATGGTGAGCGTTGTAGGGGCTGTGACTGGACCGGCCCGAGTAATGGTAACTTCTCCTTGGGCAGTACCAGTCGCAGAGGTCTCATCGTCATCACCAGAAGAGCCAGTGGGAGTCTCAATCAGTACAGTGTTTGGTCCACCAGATTCACCAGGAATAGTGAGTGTTGTCGCAGCTGTGACTGGTCCTCCTCGTGTAATAGTGACCTCCTGAACAGAACCAGCTGTAGAAGACTCATCTCCATTGCCAGCAGAGATATTTGGGGTCTCAATCAGCACAGTGTCTGGTCCACCAGATTCACCAGGAATAGTCAGTGTTGTTGCAGCTGTAACTGGACCACCTCTTGTAATAGTGACTTCCCGAACAGAGCCGGTTTCTGAGGATCTCTCAGCAGACTCAGCCGGCACTTCAACCAGTACAGTATCTGGCCCTCCAGATTCACCGGGAATGGTAATTGTTGTTGCAGCTGTGACGGGACCGCCTCTTGTGATAGTAATCTCTTGAACAGCTCCGGTTACTGGCGACTCTGTACCTCCAGTAGCGGACTCCGTAGGTATCTCAACATAAACAGTGTCTGGTCCTCCAGAAACACCAGGGATTGTTCTTGTTGTTGCCGCTGTGACTGGGCCGCCTCTTGTGATAGTAATTTCTTCAACGGCATCAGTTACTGTTGTCTCACTACCACCGCCAGCAGATTCGGTAGGCGTCTCGATATAAACAGTATCTGGTCCTCCAGATACGCCAGAAATGGTTACTGTTGTGGCAGCTGTAACAGGGCCGCCTCGCGTAATAGTAACCCCCTGAACAGCCCCGGTTCCTGCAGAGCCATTGGCAGACTCTGTAGGTGTCTCGATGTAAACAGTATCGGGACCGCCAGACACTCCAGGGATAGTGACTGTAATAGCAGCCGTTACAGGGCCACCTCGCGTGATAGTAACCTCTTGAACAGCCGCAGTTCCTGCGGAGGACTGACTAGGCGTCTCAATATAAACAGTATCCGGTCCACCAGATACTCCAGGAATAGTCACTGTCGTGGCAGCAGTCACAGGCCCGCCCCGAGTGATAGTAACCTCATCTTGACCATCATCAGTTGCAGATGGTCCATCCTCATCAGAAGATCGAGGTGTCTCAACAATAACGGTATCAGGCTGACCTGATCCACCAGGGATCGTAATAGTTGTAGCAGCTGTCACAGGTCCACCTCGAGTGGAAGTAATCGCTTGGACACCACCAGTTACCGAAGGCTCATTCGATCTTGCAGGAGTCTCAACGATGACCGTGTCCGGCTCACCCGATTCACCAGGAATGGTTATAGTAGTCGCTGCTGTTACAGGTCCTCCTCGTGTTGAAGTTACCTCTCCTGGGCTGTCTCCGGTCTCTGTCGATTCATCATCGGAGGATCTTGTAGGCGTTTCAATAATAACGGTGTCTGGCTGCCCCGATTGACCAGGAATAGTGATGGTTGTTGCTGCTGTTACCGGTCCTCCTCTAGTCGAAGTCACTTCAACTGGGCCGTCTTCAGTCGCTGTAGATTCCTCACCATCAGAGGGACTTGTAGGCGTTTCAACGATAACAGTGTCTGGCTGGCCTGATTCACCAGGGATAGTGATCGTTGTCGCAGCCGTAACTGGTCCGCCGCGAGTGGAAGTCACTTCACCTGCGCCGCTTCCAGTCTCCGATGGATCAGAATCGCTAGATTCAGTTGGTGTTTCGATAAGAACTGTGTCAGGTTCACCAGGCGCACCGGGAATGGTGATAGTCGTGGCGACTGAGACAGGCCCTCCTCTTGTGATCGTGATATCGGCAGCACCACCAGTGGGAGTTTCTACGAGAACAGTGTCCAACTCACCAGACACAGTAGCAGGAATGGTGATGGTCCTCGTGGCTGTTCCAGAGCCGCCACCAAAGATGGTTGTATATCTCTGGCCAGTCGCTGGTTCTGACGGCTCTACTTCTGGACCAGTGGTTGGTGTCTCAACAAGCACGGTATCTGGCTCTCCAGATACCGTGGCTGGGATGTATAAAGTTCGCGGGGCAGTGACTGGGCCACCGCTGAAGATCGTGGTATTGACTCGGCCACCAGCAGTTGTAGCGACTGAGCTTTCAGAAGACCCAGCCTCAGTTTCCTCGGCATCACCAGGTAGTGTCTCAATGATGACAGTGCCCGACTCTTCTGGGTCGTCAGGTGGGAAGTAGAATGTTCCACCAGCTGTTCCCGGAGCTTGAGTGTAGATGGTGACGTTGCCACGACGAGACGCCGATGTGCCCGGAGCCTCTGTAATGGTTCCAGTCTCAGACATGCCACTATTCTCATCACCAGTGGGAGTCTCGATGATAACTGTTCCTGGCTCGCCAGATGCAGTAGGTGGGATATACACTGTTCTTGTAACGCTGGCTGGACCGCCACTGATACTTGTGACATTGCCTCCGGATACCGTAGGAGCAATCGTCGTAGCTGCAGCCTCTTGGGAAGTTTCAGTGGCTGAGGTATCATCATAAGAGTCAGTTGGTGTCTCGATGACAATAGTTCCGGCCTCTCCAGATGCCGTTGGTGGGATATAGATAGTTCTCGTTGCTGTGCCAGGGCCGCCACTAACAATAGTGACGTTGCGAATACCTGTAGGAGCAACTGTCTCAGATGCCTCAACATCTGGTACTGATGTCGGCGTTTCAATAATAACAGTTCCTTGTTCACCAGAGGCTGTAGGCGGGATGTAGATGGTCTGTCGAACTGTGCCAGGGCCTCCACTGTAGATAGTGACATTGCCAGCGGAAGAAGGCGTAGCGATCTGGCTACCAGTTTCGGAGACAGTGACGCTTTCATCTTCACCCGTGGCAGACTCCTCAGATCCTTGAGTAGGAGTCTGGATGATCATGGTGGTAGAGTCACCGGATGCACTAGGCGTTAGATAGATCGTTGTAACAGCTGTACCTGGTCCACCACTGTAGACAGTCACGTAAGTTGGACTGCCAATTGGCGTCTCAACGATGAAAGTTCCCGGCTCATCTGAAGCTATACCAGGAACGAAACGGGTTGTGGCGACAGTCGCAGAGACACCAGTGTATACAGTGACATTGGCAGGACGAGAGCCTGAACCTGAAGTCGGGGTCTCGATGAGAATCGTATCGGGATCGCCTGACGCAATACCCGGAATTGTGAGAGTTCGGGTGGTAGAAGCAGGACCATCTGTATAGATAGTCACGGCTCTTACCGCAGGTGTTTCAACGATGACGGTTCCAGGCTCGCCAGATACTGTGGGTGGGATATAGATAGTACGAGTACCAGTAGCGGAGACGGCACTGTAGATAGTTGTGTTTCCTGCACTTCCTTCTTCATCAACTTGAGAAGTCGGTGTTTCAATAACAATAGTTCCAGGCTCGTCAGTCACCGTGGCAGGGATATACCGAGTCTGAGTGACTGTAGCAGGGCCTCCAGTGACGATAGTGACATTTCCGATGCCTGTAGCTTGAGGTCCAGCTGTTGGGGTCTCAATGACCACAGTACCGGGCTCTCCTGACGCAGTGGCAGGGATAAAACGAGTGGTTGTTGACGAAGCAGGTCCACCACTATAGATGGTGACATTACCTGGACCTTCAGGAGTGACAATTGCAGTTGGGCCACTAGCACCTGTGCCAGTGATGCTGGAGTCATCATCGTCGTCTGGATCAGACGTGGGTGTCTCCACGATAAGGGTACCAGTTCGAGTAGCGGAGCCTGAACCACCGCTGAAGATCGTGACGGTCGTTCTCGCCGTGATCTCACCAGAGTCAGAGATAGAGCCAGTTTCAGAGCTATCACCATCACCGCCAATTGTACTAGCATCCGATCCACCAGTAGGTGTCACGATAACGAGAGTCCCGGCTTCACCAGAAGTTGTTGGTGGGATGTAAGTAGTTCTCGTGACTGCCGCAGGACCTCCACTAAAGATAGTCACTGTAGTCGCCGCTGAGATAGCTTCCTCTTCTGCTTCAGTAGGAGCACCTGTCTCAGTAGAACCTTCAGTTTCCTCTGCGCCGCCATCACTCGTCAGACTGGCTTCAGAGCCATCTGCAGGAGTCTCGATAATAAGAGTTCCTGCTTCTCCAGAGGCTGTAGGTGGGATATACACCGTTCTGGTCACGGATGCAGGACCGCCACTAAAGATGGTAACTGTAGTAGCAGCAGATATAGCATCTTCGCCATTGTTGTCTGTAGCGGTAGATGCAGCTTCTTCGGTTGGCGTCTCAATGATGAGTGTACCCGCCTCACCAGAAGCTGTAGGCGGGATATACACGGTCCTCGTGACCGAAGCGGGGCCGCCGCTGAAGATCGTGACAGTAGTCGCAGCAGAGATGACATCTTCTTCACTAGTAGAAGCAGCTTCAGATCCATCTGTAGGAGTCTCAATGTACATAGTGCCCGCCTCGCCTGAAGCAGTGGGAGGAACATAGACACTCCTTGTGACTGAGCCAGGACCACCACTGAAGATAGTGACAGTTGTTGCTGCCGAGATGGCATCCTTGCCATCAGTAGCTGTCGCCCCGGAACCATCGACGGGTGTCTCAATGAACAAAGTACCTGGCTCATCAATCGCTGTAGGTGGTACATAAACGGTTCTTGTAACTGATCCGGGTACACCGGTGTATACAGTGACAGTTCTTGTCGCTGAGATGACTTCTTCTTCACCGGTGGCAGTGGCTTCAGATCCAGTTGGTGTCTCGATGTACATGGTACCTGCTTCATCCGAAGCCGTAGGCGGCACGTAGACAGTTCTTGTAACAGATCCAGGCCCACCGCTATACACCGTGACGGTAGTCCTTGCCACGATCACTGTGACTCCAGATAGACTCTCAGTGGTATCATCAGAGCCACCATCAGGCCCAGATGTTGGCGTCTCAATGATTATAATGCCATCCTCTCCAGGTGCTGTTGGAGGGATATAGATAGTACGGGTAACAGACCCTGCCACGCCACTGTACTCGGTGACATTGATGCCACTACCAGGCGCAACATCCGTTCCTGTAGCGCTAACATCAGTGGGCTCTTCAGTCTCTTCTCCAGACACAGGAGTCTCAACATAAACGGTACCAGGGTCATTCGGATCCGAAGGAGGAACGTAGTAAGTGGTTCTTCCTGGCCCAGTACCCGGAACAAAGATAGTAGTGTTTGATCCAGCGCCAACAGTTGTTTGTGCTTCAGGATTAGCTGTAAGACCACTGGTCTGTGTTCTTGGAACGGGGGTTTCGATGATAACAGTTCCTGGAGCACCTGACGTCTTGGGTGCTACGTAAACAGTCTTTGTTGTAGATGCAGCACCGGCTCTGAAGATGGTCAAGTTGGCGATTCCGGTGATAGCGGAGACAGTTGTTTGGAAGCCTGAAACTGTTCCTGTCTCTACCAATTCGGTCTGTGAGATTGGTGTCTCAATCACAATTGTCCATGGGTCACCGGTGGTTTCTGGTGGGATGAAGATCGTGCTCCTTTCTGACCCTTCTCCAGCTCGGTAGAGAGTAACATTTCCACTGTCGCCTGGTGAGACCTCATCGGTGGGAACTGGTGTGATCGAGGCTTCAGGGCCTGTGATCTCAGCTGAGCCATTGGAAGCAGTCTCTTCATCGGCTTCAGAGGCAAGCGTCTCAATGATATAAGTGCCTCTTTCTCCAGAAACGGTCGGTGAGATGTATCTAGTGTTTCCAGGGGATCCAGTTGCTTCTGTATAGATGGTTACATCGGTTCTGTCTTCAGAAGTGGCAGTGTTTCCGCTCTCGTCTCCAGGACCTCCGGTTATAGTACCAGAATCTTCGTCGGAGACTGGCGTTTGGATGACAATGGTTCCGGCTTCGCCCGATGCCGTGGGTGGGATGTATAGAGTTATCCTTTCTGAGGCAGTACCTGAACTGTACACCGTCACGTTGGGTCTGACGCCAGGTTCAAAGCCGGTAGTCTGGCTGCCTCCGCCATTACCTCCCGTCTCTTCTGTATCAGGATCGGATACAGGGGTCTCAATAATAATAGTGCCAGCTTCGCCAGAGGCAGTAGGGGGGATATACAGGGTTCGTATTTCTGACGCAGTACCGGAACTGTAGACAGTGACATTGGCGATACCAGCTGGCGACCCAGCTGTAGGACCACTACCATCTCCAGCGCTCTCAGTAGCATCTGGATCGGCTTCAGAAACAGGAGTCTCAATGATGATATATCCATCTCCATCTGAAGCGGTAGGAGGTACATAGATAGTGATCCTGCTGGAAGCAGTACCAGAGCTATAAACCGTGATGTTCGGCCTAACACCAGTTGTCTCAAGCCCAGTCTCAGTCGCAGTTGCGATAACAGACAAACCTGTCACAGTTGGCGTCTCAATGATAATCGTACCCGGCTCATTCGCAAATCTGGGAGGTACATAAAGAGTCCTTCTTGCAGGGCTGGATCCAGCTCTGAAGATTGTGACATTGGTATTACCGCCGATACCAGTAGTGGTAGCAAGTACATCGTCGTCTCCACGAGCAGTCGCAGCTTCAGATTGGGTTTCTGAAACTGGCGTCTCGATGACGACTGTCCATGGGTCGTTGGATGCTTGGGGAGGGACGTAGAGAGTTGTTCGGGCTGGGCCGCGACCTGCTCTGAAGACGGTGATTGTTGCCAATGCACCACCAGGAGCATCAGTAGTCAGACTGTTGTCTGCTGGGATACCAGCTGTAGGGTTTCCGCCAGATGCGTCGGTGATGGTTTGGTCATCTTCATCAGTGTTGGGACCAGCTCCAGGTCCTGGGCTGTCGGTAGTGGCATCAGGATCAGAGGTCTCGCTTTCCGTATCGGTGTCTGTGTCAGAAGGCTCAGCACCTGCTCCGACTGTGGTGCTCGCGCCATCGTCGTCGCCATTACCTGATGAGCCACTCTGAGTAGCTCCACCTGATACTCCAGTACCTGTTTCACCTGGATTTCCAGACCCCGTCTCAGACGCTTCGTCATCCGACGAGTCAGAAGAAGAATCGGGCTCAGAAGTCTCACTGCGCGTGGGTCCATCTGTAGCGGTCTCTCCTGAATCAGGGTCAAGACCACCATCGTCTGATGGCGCGGCCTGAGAGCCAGTAGGAACCTCAAATCCAGGTGATCCCCCGGACGTCTCCTCATCGGTTGCTGTAGATAGCAGATTGGAGTCAGGAAGGGGACCAGTTGATACAGCAGTTGGCAGTGGTAACTCAGGAGACTCGAAGGATGGGTCACTAATGGCGGATATGCCTTCGACTCCGCCAGTAAGTGACTGGCTGCTCGATCCGGTTTCTGGTAATGGATCAGTAGGAACTGGCACTTGAGGAGAGACCAAGCTGGTGTCGCCGTTTTCAGGTTGAGCGGTACCAGTAGGATCTCCGGTCTCTTGAGCATCATCAGATGCCGTCTCAGAACCAGGATCTCTAGAAGCGGCGGAGGTCTCTGCATCAGAATCATCGCTCACTGAGCTCCCACCCGCACTTCTAGATGTAGCACCACCGGAAGGTCCGCCAGTAAGTGCCTCTCCACTAGAGGTCGTCGCGGCGTCATCATCATCAACAGTGGTGGTTTGTGAGTTTGACTCAGCAGTGGTTGAGCCTCCGACTCCCCCAGCTGGCTGACCTGTCAATCCGGCACCACTGCTTGTCGCTGAACGAGTCGACGAAGTTTCACCAGGCTGTTCCACGCGATCTGACTCCGGAACACTCTGAGTACCAATAAGGGTCTCAAAATTGAGTTCCTCAGTTCTTCTGGTAGCACTTGAGCTCTGGCTTGAACCTTGCGACGCTGGCGATGTACCCGCGCTGGAGCCCCGAGCTGCTTCAGACTGGGAACTTCCAGCATCCGACACAGA